AAATAAGGCCACATTCTGAAGCACCAGGGTTACGATTCAAGACGCTCATTTAGCGCCGGGGGCGGGGACACACCCAACCTCTAACCCCGCCCTCACAGCTCGCGCTTGCGGGGCGCCTCCGCCGGCCCAGCGCCAGGCGCCCCCAGTCCCTGCCAGCAGGGGGCGCTGCGGCCGGCAGGGCCGCGGGGGCCGCGGCTTCCAGCCCACGTCCCAGGGGGCGGCTGAGCGCCTCCTCCAGCCCGTAAACGCAGCGCGCCTCCCCCCACGGCTGAGCCCCTTCGGGAGCGCAGGCACCAGGCACCTGCCCCTCCCTACAGGGCTCTAGTCTCCGGCTTCCTTACTGACCCCACCTTTCCCTTGTGCCCTGGCTAGGGCACATTCTAGGGCTGATTTGGGGGGAAGATTTGTTTGTGCATACAGAACTGGGGTACAGGCCAGAGGTGCGGCGGGTGAGAGGCTTCACCAGAGACAGAGTGGGGAGCAAAATAGATCGACGAAGTCCACTGCTGAGGGGAGCAGCGGGCGGGTCCGGAGAGGTCTGCCGCGCCCTGTGGGTCACCTCCGGGGCAGGCGGGGATTGAACTCATGCGGAAGCGGCTTTAGCTCCTTAGTGCTGTGCTTCAACCCGCTGCGCCACCAGGGAGGGCCCCTGTTAATGTTTCTTTCTTTCTTATTTTTTTTTAAAGATTTATTTATTTATTCTTACAGAACTGGGGTACAGGCCAGAGATGTGGAGAGTGAGAGGATTCCCCAGAGACAGAGTGGGGAGCAGAACAGGCAGATGGACTGAAACACTGCTGAGGGGAGCAGCGGGGAGACAGAAGAGGTCTGCTGCGTCCTGTGGGTCACTCCCTGGCCAGGGATCGAACTCGTGCTGTGATGGCTGCAGACAGCTTCATAGTGCTGGGCCGATTCTTGCTCTTTTGACACCTGAGACATTTTCCCCTTTCCAGTCATCACGCTAAGTAGCTAGCTTTCCCTTAACGCTCTGCATTCTCTGTTCACCTCCCTGGTGTGGCTTCAGTCTCCTGATTGGCCCCTTTCAGGCAGCCTGAAACCACAGCCCACTTCTGGGAATGGGTGCATGGGTGCAGCTCAGAGGGACAACCACTAGAAATCCCCCCAAACTCTGTTCCTATCCTTGAGCTCTGGAAACACCTCCCCTCCAGCCTCACCCCTCCCAGCCCTCTGCCCTGGCCACACACAGGCCTGGCCCCCGAGGCCGGGGCCCTGGTATCCTCAAAGTAGCTGGCAACTTCTGCCCTCAGCCGGCAGGACAGCTGCTGGGGTGCCTGGGAGCCCACACTGTGGGCCAGAAAGCTGTCTGTCCTCTTGGCTGAGAGCTCGAAAAATCTCTGCCTTTTGAGTCTCTTCATGCATGAAGAATGAAACCAAAAAGCAAGCTATAGAAAGGTCCCCAGCCACACTGTGAGGCTTACAATTCACCTGTTATGCGAATATGACCCTAAGCATAATTATTTGGGGTCCTCATGTGTGGGTGGTTTCTGCCCCCGGAGCCCCCCCCAACTCCAGTACTCTCCTCCCTCCACCTGCCAACTCTTCTTTCTGGAGCAAATGTTTTTGAGGTGAGGATTATAAATCTATACAGTGTGTAATAACTAGCAGTTTATTATTTTTTAAAGATTTATTTATTTACGCATATAGAACTGGGGTACCGGTCAAAGGTGCAGGGACGGTGAGAGGCTTCCCCACAGACAGAGCGGGGAGCAGAACGGGCAGATGGACTGAAGTCACTGCTGAGGGGAGCAGCAGGGAGACAGGAGAGGTCTGCTGCGCCCTGTGGGTCCCTCCCCGACAGGGACCCGAACTTGGGCTGCGGTGGCTCCGACAGCTTCATGTGCCCTTTGCGCCACCAGGGAGGCCAATAACTAGCAATGTAAAATGACAAACTACAACAGGCAGACCGGCTGTGCCCAACCTGGTTCAGGGAAAATAATTCTTTTAAAGCTGATGTAATTTAGTCTCCTCCTGGAGAAAATGGCGCTTGTGATAAAATGCTTAAGCTATTTTTAGAACAACTTTCAGTGGCATTAGGTTTTGTTCTGGGAAATACATTGTATGTCGCCCTAACCCCCCCCCGCCTCCCCCCAAACATACTCTCTCCCGTCAGAAGCCCTGTGTCCTGCGGCTCTCCAATCGTTCTGTTACCAGGCAGACTGGGGGGTAACCTGGGTGCCCCAAACCTGCACACTCTAACTGGGGTCTGCCAACTGCCACCAAAAGACAGTTTTCTCTTGGTGTGAAAGAACTTTAATAGGATTAGGGTGCACAGAGAGAAGAAAGGGTAATAGCTTCCCGGTAAAACACCTAAAGTTACCCAAGCCCTGGTGGGTAAATGCCCAGCCAAACAGGGTCGGCCCAAAGCGGGGTCACTGAGGCCTACAAGTTTGCCCCAAGTCTAAGGCAACTTCCGCGGGAGACACAAGAAGGGGCAGGAAGCCAGGGCAGGTCTGCAGAAAGGAGCAACGACAGAGGACAAGTCACGTGGGGCACCTCCGCAGCCTCCCCGCCCTTCTGAGCCTCTCCTCCGAAGTCCCGGCACCCCGGGGCTAGTCCCAGGCAACAGGCACTGTGGCTTCTTCACGCGTCTCTGCTCCATGTGCCTGCTCCAGGTCTCTCTCCCCCGCCCTTCTGGCTCCTCCCCACCTGCCTAAGGTGGCACCGGGATCATGGAAGCCCCCCTTTTAAACAAGATTTATTTAGTTATGCACATAGAACTGGGGTACAGTCCAGAGGTGCAGGGGCAGTGAGAGGATTCAGCAGAGACAGAGTGGGGAGCAGAACAGGCAGATGGAGGAAGTACACTGCTGAGAGGACAGCCAGGAGACAGGAGAGGTCTGCTGCGCCCTGGGGTCACTCCCTGACCAGATTAAATGGCACTGCGGTGGCAGTGGGGACCTCCTTGCCTGGAGGTCCACATAGGCTGTGTTCCTTACAGGCGAGGTGCTTTGCTGTCATTCTCCCGTTTCCAGACCGGCCTCTCCTGAGCAGTAGCACCTGAGGTGTTTCTCCCCTCAATTCCCCATACCACCAGGGAGGCCCTAAAAGACATTTCTTACTCTGGGTCAAGGTAAAAAAAAAAAAAAAGGAAAGGAGCCAGCTGACAAACCACAAGATGGTACCCAGGAAATGATGGTCTGTGAGCACAATGACAGCTGTGTTCCCATCGCGGGCAAATGGGTGAAGTGTCTTAGGGGTCAAGAGGTGAGCGGTTCCAGGGTGCAATCACCCTGCACCCTCATGGCCATCGGGGACAAGGGGAGAAACACCTCAGGTGCTACTGCCCAGGAGAGGCCAGTCTGGAAACAGGTGGATGACAGCAAAGCACCTCGCCTGTAAGGGACAAGGAGGTCTGAGGCTGGCCACTAGCCTGGGCGGGTGCTGAGGCCTACTTGAGCCTCTCTGTGTGGACTCTGGAATCCAGCCCCTTCAGGGCCTGGGAGCAGCGCAGCCCTATGTTCCCACGGCCAGATGTTTTCATAAAGTTGCCAAAGTCCGACACTGAAGCCAGAATCAGCTCAGCCTGTTATCTCTCCCCACAAGACTTCCTCTCCATTGCATTTCCCCTCCTTTCAGGAGGTCCGAGGGGCCAAGCAGTGTTCACAAAATGTGTTGTCCTTCGTACACAAACCATAATAGGTCTGCCATGAGTCCAGACCCACGAAGAGTGGGGCTGGACTGCCATCTGCCTGACCTTTTATTCTTCGATACCCACTAGTGGTGTGGACTTTCTTTCTGAAATTTGTTCATATTTAACAGGCCAGCGCAAAAGCACAGTAGGAGAGTATCTACTGCACCGCCCACCCACCCCAGGTCCCAGAGTAACACATCCCATGAACCCCGGAGCAAAGGTGTTCCCAGAAATTTTAGATCCACATTAGACTCTATTTTTTATACGATCGGAGTCCATAACACCCCGCTCTGCACTGAACTTGCCTGCTGACCTTCCGGCGGCATACGGCAGGCCCTGGCGCCGGGAGGCCATCACTCACCAGATCATCGTGAGTTCTGCAAGGACCTCACAGATGGAGGTTCCGTGTTTGGTAACTTCTTCTAGGGCGCCGGTTTCTGAGCCTTCACCTAGGGTAGGAAACCGCACTCACAGGGCAGGGCAGGCGGAGTCCTGCGCCTGGACACCCACTGGGCGCAGGAGACCAGCCAAACTCTGATCCTTCGGAATGATGATGCCCCAGCACCATCACGTGGGGGTAGGGGTACCCCCACAGCCCTCTCCAACATCCGCCTGGACAGCGGGGCGCCGCGCCGGGTCCCCAGCTGCAGCGAGTCCGCCCTCGTTCGCAAGTGGCGGGCGCTGCCTTTTGCATAGTCCCGTTCGGACACTTGTCTTACACCGGAACGCTGCAGAGCGGGCAGCGCCGCCGCGAGGCCAGCGGTGCAGCGAGCGCGGCGGGGAGACCGGGCCGAGCCGCCGCCGCCCCGCCGGACACCCGCCGCCCTCCTCGGAGGGGCGGCTCGACCTCGCAGGGGGACGCCCGCTTTTCCTGCCGTCTCTCAGAGAGCAGCCGGCCCCCCGCATCCCGGAGCAGAGTCTGGGGTGCGCATTCATCTCCAGGCTGCCTGGAGAGGGGCACATAATCGTTTCTGCAGCGAGGGTCGGGTTCAGGTCAGTCAGGTTTATACCCGCCTTCTGTGGGTAGAGACGCTCGCGCCCAGGCCCTTAACGATCAGCTCCCCAGCGACGCCCGCATCTGTTTATTCTGAGGAGGGGGTGTGTTGTGAGCGCGGAGTGCGCGGCGGATTAGTAACGCAATTGAGCGAGTGAAGGGAGGTCCCCGACCTGCGGGACTACAAGTCCCAGAATGCCTCCATCCGTCAGCGTGGCAGAGGTCGCGGTTGAGGGAGCGTTGCTTTCTGGGATTTGTAGTCTCATACTTGTTTGTGACGCAGGCGAAACTAGAGGGCAGGGGGGCAGGGAGTAAACTACTACTACGTGACGCCCGGCATCAGGGGGTTGGGCCAGCCTCCGCGCACGAGCAGTGATTGGCTGACTCTAACACGAACGACGCCACTGGGGGCGGGCCGAAGAGGAGCGCAAGCGCAGTGCGCTGCGAGTCTCGGGACCCTTTTCCGTGCGACTATGGCGCTCAACAAGAACCACTCGGAGGGCGGCGGAGTGATCGTCAACAACACTGAAAGGTGAGAAAACTGCGCGAGGAAGTCGGGGCACGGAGCGGGGGCGCCCGGGTGTGGCCAGCGGGCGTGGCGGTGGGGCTTGACCCGTGAAGGGGGCAGTGGGTGCGGGGCGCGGGTG